CAATTTAATCACGGTTGCGTCACGGGTTTGCAATCCTTATTCTAATTGTTCGATTACGACACTATATTATAATTGATAATTCGAGTTTATTATTTCTCTGTTATTATTTAATCAATGAGACTCGTTGAAATAAAAACGAAGATAAAAGTGATATAAATTAGATAGACCAATAATGTATTTATAATTGAACAAATCCGTAATTCTTCTTTTTTCCATTATTTTCCTCGAAATCCATCAAAGGATAATGTTAATAATTTAAAAGTAATCATGATAATTTGCTAATTTTACACTGTGATGGATGCACCATGGTCGATGTAATTTATCAGAGCGATTCGTTACAACTGATAACGCGATAATCTAACGATAGATCTTGCAATTCGAGGAACGCTCGATCATTCGTATAACATCCTCGAGATTTCAAACGCATAGGTCAAAGTTGAGGTTTTACATTGCAAAATGCCTCCTCTTAATCCTCTCTACCTCTGTTATGAATCATAAATTACGTGTACATGATCGATCCACTATATTTCCATTCTATATCTATTATCGATGTTCAGTCGCAAAAAAAAAAAAAAAAAATATATATCTTTCGAAACTGTACGTCCGATATTAACGCGATATCAAATTCATCGGTGTGTACACGAGGGAGTATCGCGCCCCGTCATGCAAAATTCAAAACCACTCCCAGGCGAAATATTAACGACGGCGGCGCAATTAATTTCCAGAGCTTTTCACGCGGGGATCGATCCCGATCCAGTCATGTGCCAAACCGTTAACACCACCTTTACTAATAATTGCGGTTGGGCGAGTTGCGGGGAGTGGTGCTTGACAAGAACCACAGGATTCTGCCCTCAGATCCACGCGACCGTAAGAAGGAATGGAACGGACATCGTTTTCGAAAATTGCACGAAATTCAGCACCATATCTTGCCCGAAGGTCAGTTTACCAGATATCTCGATTTTTGACTTTTCATTCCATTGATAATTTTAAATTTCTAAATGTTTTCGTTGAATTGGTGATGAATTCTTTTTTTATATATATGTATAAAATTTCAATATGCAATTTTATCGGAATATTTTTTTATCAGCCGGGAAAATTTATGATCGATTTCAACGAGAAAGCAATGATAGATTTAAACTAATAGGATGGAGTAGCGTGTAAGGGGAATAAGAGCGTATACGGTCAGACACGTTTTACGACCACTTCACATGCTCCTTTAATTCACATGCGCTCCACGTTATAAACTGCTTCGATAAAAAAAGTTAGCTTCGATATAAAAAGTATTCAGATAAAATGTTGAAACGCGTATCAAACTTTACATTTATGCGGTTAAATAGATATCAATAAATGGTCAATATCTTGCTACATCTACGACAACTTTATATTAATGTAATTTAATTATTTAATTATATAATGTATAGAAAAAGGTCTCTGCATAAAAATGCTATATATATTTACAAATTTAATTTTCTTATTATAATGGAATAGAACGAGCCAAAGAGTTGTAAGGAATTGTAAGAAACTTTTAACGTTTATCATAAAAAATATAAATTTTTAATTCTATAAAATATACGATATAATATAAAAATGAAAATTTAATTTTTAATACTTTAATAATAGAAATTATTTCACCCCTTCTATACTATATTAATAATTACATTTGTGTTCATAAATTACCGCAGATTTTTGATAGATGATTTTTACTTATTCGAACATTTTTTGTAATAAGTGGATAGATTGTGTTACTTAGACTCAGTTATTAAAATTGAGACAAAAATGAACCAAAAAGGCTAAATTGAGTTGCTCGAGCACGTTTTTGTATTTCTCGAAACGCGAAAAGGCGGAAAACGTGAATATTTTCGCGCGAGATATCATCAAACGTTCTGTGAATTTTTCAACATTCGATATCGATCTTCCCGTTTCGCCCAAGCATCTCTTCGCATAATAATTTTCCCGAATTCCTTTCACTACAAGTGTAACACCTCGAACAAATAGTTTGCATCCCCTGGAGAGACGCGGCGCGGAATAAATTGATCTGAATAACTTTCTAGAACTGCGCTTCTCGCAGCATCACGCGGAAGAATATATTTTATCGGCAGAAAATTGTTAAGCGATAATATCTCAACAATGATCACGGACAACAATTTTCCATTATTCCTGTCGATGTGTCTGGGCGTTTTTTTTTTTTTTTCGTTCTAAAAATATTATTCCCCGAACAAATAAGGCCGCGAAACTTTGCTCTCAACGCGCTCTTTCTCCTCTTTCAGTATTAGCTCCGCTCGCGAAGTAATTAGAGAAATTGCAATCTCGTTATTTCCCGCGTCGAACGCGTTCGTTTTAAACCTCCATTTTCTCCGTTTGTTCCGCGGCCAACAATACACCGGAAGTGATCAAATTGCACGCGACGGAAAAGAGCTTTTGAACGAACGCCATTCGCGATAACTCGCGAAGATCATTATTATTATCGACTCGATTTTTTTCAGAATTTTATTCCCATCGTTGTCAACTTCAACAAAAAGTCGATTTCTCTCTCGCCCACTTGTCGTTTTTTTTCTTTCTTTTTTTTTTTTTTTTTTTTTTATTGTTCGAATTGGTGTATAGGCGTGTCGACGATCGTTGATCACCGTGAAAATTTCTCGGATCTTTCGCGCGTTTCTCTCACCGAGAAAATCGATGGAACAGCTCGCACAAAGGGCAGCCACGTCTTTAATTAATCCGAGTACAAGTAGTTCGATGAACGTTGCTCTAATGGAATTAACGGGGGAAAAAATCTGATTACACCAGAGAGAGGATGAGAACGGATATGGAGGGCGTTTTAACGCAACTATCTCTGCCATTTTACGGTCGGAATTTCTGTTACCGCATGGTGGATGATGGACCAAAGAGTGATTTTGCAAAAGTGAATCGAAAAAAAGGATAGAACAATTCTTTGATAAGAATCGAAATACCATTCTATTGATTATTCGTTTAAAAAATAAATGAAAAATTTCGAGAAAATTGAATTTTAATATTCACAAAGTAATTCAATATTTTTAACACTGTTCTTTGATATTGTTCTTTTTTTTCTTTTTTTTTTTTTTGAATTTTGATCTTCTCAAGAAACAAAGATTTTACCGAAATTTTATTCTTCTTTTTCCATATTATATTGCACGTAATATAATTCTCTTCAAATATTTTGTACAGTTAAAAAAAAAAATAGGTAAAAAGAGTATCAAGCGCGGATAGATGCGCGTTCTAAAAAGATTATTCGTATTGCAAAAAAAGTGCAAAAAAGAGAGAATAGCATCGAGTACAGATGACTGATTGTACTTGGTCAAAATGTTCATTGTTTGGAATTTTTTGACAGAAGTAAACACAAATACAAGGCGAACAATATTTTCCAAAAATTAAAATCATTGTTAAATAGCCGATCATCAGCAGACGGAAGTATCGATTTATTCATATTATCAAAACTATATTTTGCAAATTCTAGAACTATTACAAATCAGAGAAACATCTATAACAACAGTACAACACATCTCATTATCATCTCGATAATAATCTGAATATTTTGCATTAATCATGCAACGTTTGCATAACTATTTACATACTGCTTGATAATTAGAAATTGACAAATAGGATCATTGAAAAATTAATAGAATTCAGAAATATCCACTTTTGCATTTGCATGTAAATCTATACAATGATGAGAAAATGAAAGAAAGAATTTGGATTGAAATTTTAAAAAGTTATTATAAAGTTTTATAAAATGGATATTTAGGAATATGATCTCGTGTGTTGCGAACGTGTTGTTGTGCTGTTAAATGGATGATAAAGTTGTAAGTATATCGATGCTGATCCAACGTGATAAATTAATATAATGAAATACTAATTTAATGAACACAGACAGGCGAACCAATTGCTTCGATGCGCTAACTTGATTATCCAATACGTAACGCTTTCACGATCGAGTTCGTCTTGAATTACTTTCTAATGGCGTATCCTACTCGCCTGCCACACCTTTTATCGATCATCTCTCACGCATCGTGATTCAAAATAAAACTTTTTTTCGCGGATTTGTTTGAATTTCTTTTTTTTTTTCATCGTGATTCAAAAGATCGAGCATTTTTTTCATGAATTTCTATGAATTTCTGTAACGTAAGTGCAAACAAAAGAGGAAAAAAATAAAAAAGAAATTAAATTTTTTATTATACTACAATAGAAGCTAAGAATTGAGAATTATGAAGTCAAAAGAGGACAGAAATTTAACTTTTACGTGTTACAAGCTTCGTTTTTTTTTTTCCATTTATCCAAGAGCTTATATGAAACGTGACAATGGTAATGAAGTTAATATAGAATTATATATATATACATCAATCATAAAATTTCTATCCAGAAGAAACATGCGTCAAAATGGAGGAATATAAACGACTTCCAAATGAGTTTCTGCGTGAGAACGAAGAAAAATGGATCGCGTGACTTTTTTAAATTGAAAAGAAATTTCTAATACAATTCGAATGGTTAAAACCAAAGAATCTCTTTTTTTATCTCGTCCAGGTGAACGAGGCTTCTTTTAAAAAATACAATTGCAACAACGGCAGCGAGTGCAGCGTGCTTTCAGGCGTGTTTAACTGCAACCTTGGCCACTGCGTGAACATAAGCGAGCTAATGTTGTGCCATTACAAGGCAGATGGAATTGTCGTGGACAGCGAGAAGGACAACATGAAACTGAACGGCTTGTTCAGCTGTCACAACTCGAGATGCACGAAAATCAAGAATCTGTTCAATTGCGATCGTTATTGTCCTGATATCGTCACGTCGGACGTGAACGTGTTCCTTATGCAAGATGACAACATCGTCACAGCGAAATGCAAACGTGGCCTGGCACTGAACAAAGCGAATGGAAATCTGCCTGGCGTCAGGCTAACCACGCCTGACCAATTTTGGGAGGATCGAAACGGGAGCATTATTGTTAGCTGTTTGGAGGTGCACAAGAAGATGAACGACGTAAGGTGAGTGTCGGTCAGAAGATTATTAATAATTATGCAGATAGTTTTAAAATTTTATTCCGTATAAAATTGAATTTTTATATGAATTTAATAAAATATTAAACTTACGATAATTATTGGTTCTTGTTAATAGTAGAAGTTTTATTTAAATTCCGGTTTCGATAATTTTTTGATGATAAAATACTTACACTCTTGCAATGTAAATCAAATTTGAACGTCTTTTAAAATAAACAAATTTGTAATTTTAATAATAATAATAAATGAAAAGGATTAATATTTTTTAAATTAAATTATTCGAGAAATTGAAGTGTAATTACTATAAAAATAACAGTAAACTGTTATTATCAAAAGAAATTTTAATTGGTCTTCGATGCAATCTTATTACACCTGGTATCTGATGTAGAAAGTAAGGATAAATACATAGCTGTTCGTGAAATTTAAAATATGATAAAGTTAATTCTGGGAAGCATCTCTTGTTGAATATTAATATTTTATGAATCTCTCCTTTCATTTACATGTTTTCATTTTCTCTCTCTCTCTCTTTTTCTTTGTATATTTCTTTTTTCTTTATATTTGAAAAACATTTTAATTTAATTAAATCCCAATCCATTAAAATTCATAATTAAAAATTTAACTCCTTATGTAAAACTTTTATTTTATATAAAAGCAAATAGTCAAATGAGCAGATATAAGAGATGATATAACTTCGAGTTCTAATAACAAGGAATTAAATTGTTGCATGTCGTGCCAGTCGTTGAATCGATACTACTTAATGACTTCATTTTATCGCGACAATCGAGATTTCGAATGCAAATCCGGCGAAAGGATTGTATATAGAGCTTTCGAGCAAGCTCGAGAGCTGTCTGGCGACGTAATTAAGACGTGAGAGTGCAAACAGTCGCGTGTATCTTTTAAATGTAATAGATTTAATTCAATATCCGTCAATTAAAATATTTTAAATCCAAGTATTAAAATGATACTTTTAGAAAAAGTTGTATAACTCACAAAATATAATGAGAAATGACGTCAGCTATCAAATTAAAAACATTTGAGTAAATATCGAATGGCAAAAATCAAATATAAATCTGACATTTTTAGGAAAAGGAAAAATTAAAATAAAAAATAAAAGTAGAAGAAGAAAAAAATAATGAAGATTTAAAGAAACTTTTCTGTTTAAAAAAACATCGAATTAACGTATATTTCTAATATTTCATCAAATTGAATGAATCTGATGACAAAGAAAACAACTTAAAGTTCTTCTCATGTATTTTGCACATTTCATATTTCTTTTTTCATATCTTATAATTTTCAAATTTCAAAAAAAATGAACGACAAGATAAGAGAAGAAACTTTACAATGGATAAATGAGAAAACTGGATATCGCAAAATTCCACGTTTAATCATATAAACCAATACGATAATGGTCCAATGCATACTGCTACCCTTTACGAAATCAATATTGGATTTCAACGTTCTTAGAACGATCTGAAAAGCATCTCCGATTGAAAATTATTTGAGCGTGAAATAACGCAAAAAAAGAGAATTATTCTACAATTTATATTCGTTCGAATTTAATTCGCATTTATTTTAATACGCGATTCTATATGAATTAATAAATTGAAACTCAACTTCGTGTTTAACTTATGTCAATACTTAACACAAAATTAGAGATTTTTTAAAAAAATTTCCAAATCTGATATCATTCTATTTATTCGATCTTGAATAGAATTTAATCGAAATGGAAAGTTAAAATAAGAAATTTTGATTATTGATAACAAAGATTGGTAGAATACTATTTTTTTCTCGAGGTTTGCCCTTCAACGTTATCGATCTTATCGTGATATGAATTGTAAGATTAAAGGTTAATTTATTCGAACACAAACGCCTATGCAATTCTCCTTTAATTGTACCGTACAATTGTATTCCTACATTTTCTTTTACTTCTCACGGACACGTGGTACATGCATTTTCCTTCATAGGGTTTAGAAGACGCCAACGAGGGTATTTCCATGGCAACCATTGATCCTGCGGCTCTATCCCCCGATTCACTTCTATCTTCAAGTTTTTCTTCGCGTTTCTTTTATTTCGATATTTTCTCTCTTTTTACACCGATGGACACCCACGCGGGGGGGACGAAACGATCGACAAGCAGGGAAAAATTTTACAATGAAACATCCCATAAAAAATGGTCGAGAAATGTGTACTCGCGATCGCAGAAATTTTTCTCGAAATGTATTCACGAAAATAATGTTTTATCGAAAAAGACAGGGAAAGACTCCTCAACAATTTGTTTTTAAAACAAATGCGGCACGAGGGGAATAATTCAAAGAATTGAAAAATATAAGATGTTTAATAAATACCTAATATAATAAAAATATGCTATTTGTCCTTTGTTACATAAGATAAACGATAAAAAAAAAAATAAAAATAATAAAATCGTTCAAGAAATAAGTATGCTTTATATTCAAAGATAATAACTTTTTTTTATACTCTTATTTACATTCTAATTCTCAAAAAATTCTCTCTATAGAAAAAACTAAAAAATATGTAAAATAAATTTACGAGAACTTTTTTTATTCCTATACAAAACATTATTCTACAATGTTATTTTCTCGCGTAGACTCGTTCCTTTTAAGATCTTTCGTTTCGAAAGTATTCATAAAAAATTTATCACAGGAAACATTCTCGAAAGGATATATACATCCTGTTCTCGATATGCTCTTAAATCTCGTCTCGCAAATCGTGTTTTTTTTCTTTCTCTCTTTCTCTTTCGCAGGACACAGGACTGCGTGAACGGCACCTTATTAAAGGAGATCCCATTACCTCAACCAACCATCAACTTCACGAGTTTTCTGAACATATACGAGAAGAGCTTGCAATATCCAGTGGATCCTACGAATATCTATGTACCTGAGCAACGATCCCTCACGATCTACAACAGTTCTCGCCTCTACATCAATTTCGAGGGTTGCGTCAATACCCTAAAAGGGGAATGTAAAGATTTCCTCGCCACTCACGGTCGAAATGGCGACAATCAGACGGCGCAGAGTAGATACCCCTGTTACTACAACAAGGTATCCCAATCTTTTTGTTCGAAGTTCACGTTTTTCTTTTCCTTTCTAAAATATTATTTAGATATATTCACTTACAAAAGAAACAAATCAATGGCTTGCTAAAATTTCTTTTTATCTTTCATCAGTTTTCAATTAATATTAATACAAATATAATTTCAAAAATAATCATATTGTTTAATGATATATATGGAGTATTATTTCTCTATATTATTTTCTATCTGTTCGTATAAAAAAAAAATATATATATAAAGAAATTCGCAAACGATAAGTTTGTTTTTTATAAGTAAATGTATTTAATTATTCCATGAATAATTCTGCAATGTTAAATTAAGAACCTGTTGCTTCGACCTACTATTTTTATCACGAGTTTCAATTTAAAGAGCGTGTTTCGTAATAATTTACGTACGTTCTGATTTATGAGAAAACTACAAGGAACAATTTCACGGAGAGATTTCTAATAATATTTTTGATATCTGTTATTAAAACAAAAAAATTATTATTTCTTGCCATTACTTTAATTCCAAAAGCAAATATTACTCAGCTTTTAAGAAGCTTTATAAAGCTCGAAACAAAATATATTCAAGCTCGTGGCGCTACGATAGATTAATCCCATTAGAAAAACAACTCGATGCTTTCATTTCCATCTAATCAAATTTCGAACTTGATAATACCATTCGCTGTGTTTCAAGTCGTTATATAACTTTCATAGAATGGGCATAGAACGAAATGAAACTTTTAACCGAGAGAAAAATTACGCAACTGGAATTACAATAAATTTTCTCGAAATTAAATTACCGTTTTAACATACAACAACGAAAACGCTAAAATTTCTACAATGAAAACGTCTTCGAATTTTTCTATGAATATATATAGGTATATGCATACATGCAAAAAGATTATGCAATGATTATTTTATTCGAAGCAGGAGATTTAATGAGCGATTCGAGTGGAATTCTGTCTTATTCACTACTTTTGTATCTTTCATTTTTTTCAATGAAAAATACATTCCTTTGCCGTATTCCTCGTTCAATTCTTCCTTAATTGAATCTTGAAATTATTCTCTGAAATGTCACAGCAACTCTTAACGATTGACTGACTCTCTTGCTTTTTTTTTTCGCGAATTAAATTACAGAATCTAACGAAGTGCATTTAATTATTATTTAATTATTATTATTATTATTATTATTGCACTAAATTTTTCCATGATTCATGGTTCAGAAAGGCTCGAATATTAATGAAAATTCGTGAATATGGACCTACCAGCATATATATTTTATTCATATCGTCTCGTGTGCGATTGCCTCATTGAAAATGTTTCAAGTGAAATATTTCAAACGTGATCGTTGCTGTTAAACTATTCCTCGATATATTTCGATGAATATATAACGTGGAATAAATTATAGAAGATAATATTTGAAATATTTATACGCAAATATTGCATGTAACATATATAATAATTAATTAGCAACCGAAGATTGATGTATGAATATGAATTCGAAATTAATATTAATTATTGTTTTTCAAAGAATAATATTTCTTTCTTGAGATTTTTCAATCCTTTCTTTCTACCAAGCTTTTCCAATATGTGAAAATGGAATATAAAAAAAAGTTGCACAATTTTTATTATTTATTCAAACATCTTAAAAATTCCACAAATCTAATGAAAGAGATTACTCGTTGAAATTAAACTATATTTCACATTTGGAATTCCTTTGAAAAAGATAGGGCGAATATAAAGAAACCAAAGTGACTGACAGAGAGAAAATTCTATGAGGAAGCTATTTCATTTTTCATTAAGTATTCGTTCCATTACTAACCTAGATCTTGAATTTCTTAAGAAGCTTTCCTCTCGATATTTATGCCTTCCCATTCTTAAAACGTCATTGCAATGTTTTTGACATTCTTCCCAATAAAGAGACGTAGAAAATGCATAAAAGAAATCATAAATTATTGTACCATTATATACTAATATACATATCAAAACAGACATCATATAAAACTACTATGCATACATATCTATATACACATATGAAATCAATAATTGTAATTAGAGAGCAAATATCATTTGAATCTAGTTTACCATTGATACTATCATCAAGATACACTTTATTTACCATTATATAATTGACAAGAATGATAAAAAAAATAGCATATGATAAAAGAATTATAAAATCAATAGTATAATTACGATATTTCATAGAAAATACAATCTAATGTAGATTTCTGTCCAATGAAACGTTTACAAGTTATGAACAAGATAAAAATTTTCGACTGAAATTATCCATAATTCCAATTTTCGATGTCAGCCCTCCACTTTTTCAAATAGATCATACGTACATCGTTTTCTATTTATTTACAATCACGAATCATCAAAAAAGCAATTGCAATTATATAAATTGTTCCACAATAATTCGTATTATCTTAAGCCATACATATTACATATCCACAAAAATTTGAAGAATATTGTAAGCGAGGAATATGCGCGTTTACAAGTCACAAGTCATCGAAAGATTACTCAACCCCTGACTTCTAACTCCATTTGTTACAAAATAATTAAACGAATACGTGTAAAAAATTTTCCTAATTTTATCGTGTACTCATTTTCAAAAATTCAAAAAAAGAAAAGCATCGTCAACCCTTTTCATCACACGTACAGATTATTAGTGCAAATATTAGTAAACAAATAAACGAATAGAATTCTAATTTACATATCTCCAAAAAAAAAAATCATAACCACACAAATCCCGAATTATTCTGAGATAATTCCTCCTCGAAGTATTCCAATTTCCAATTTTCCCACAACGGTGTTATTTTTCCACATCTTCGAAAGGAAAATCATAAATTGAGATCAGATGAGCGTCGTTTGGGACGATTCCTCGGGGTATTTCCGATATTTCCCGCGCGATATCTCTTAATGCCATTTGTTCCAGAACAACTCGCTGTTAGTCGTCGCACGTTTCGACCTGAACAAAACGCGGACGGAATTGCTGATCGCCATCATCGTGCCGTCCGGCCTGTTCGTCATCAGTCTTACCACCCTCATCGTAATAACGCGATCGGTGCAGGTGGGCGACGACGCGAAGATGCGTTGCCGCTACTGCGTCGACAAGCAGGAAGTCGAGGGCGAGGACGAAGGGCTTGTCGAGGCTACACCCTCCTCGTCTCAAGGCCAGATGAACGAGAACGAGATCAAAAGCATGGCGCTTTAGCAGTTTAAGGCGTCTGGGGCGAGCACCGTGCTCCGTTACGAGAGGGTGCCATTGATAGACACGGACGAAGCCGAGGATTCCTTTTGAGCAAGGGATCACAACCTTTGATTAGGATGATTAGGATTAAAATTACAGTGCTATGATCGACGAAAACGACGTGCCAGAACGATGAATAACGAATTGCCTTCGTGGAGATACGATTTTGAATTTGATTGGGACTTGTGTGAATTGTTGAATTCACTTTGTTTGAATTCATCAAGATGGACGTCGTTCACAGGGATGGAGATTAATTACAGTGAGTAATAAAAATATTCGGGCATTAAGATATGGTTAACTATGGTAAATGTAAAACGTGGAAAAGTAATATGAAAAAGAGGAATAGAATAAATTTTTTTTTTTTGATTGTTTGAAATCTATTTGTCGGGACAATTCTTGAAAATCTATCATTTGATTCTACATTTTTTACTTATTTTTATACGAATAAAATAAATTTGAAAATTGACAAAATGTACACGAGTTAACCACATCTTACGATTCGAAATTTTTTCCTGATGTTCACTGTATATTGTTAAAAGCTGATTATTCTTTGTTGTTGTTGTTTGTGGAACAATAAAAAGTGTATTCTTCTATGTGAAATATGACTGACATACGTGTACTTCTTTGTGTGAAATCGACTGATATTAAGGAAGAGGCGAACTAAATCGTGCACTTCGATCGTGCAAACGCTTCAGCTGTAATCGCACTACGTTTATGAACCCAATTGAACGCTTTTCGCAAACGATCATCGACTCGATTAATCGCTATACTTTTATAAAAATGGTACAGTAGACGATCAAAGATATCGTATTTTAAATCAAACGTGGCTATATAAAGAACAAAGGGATGCAAGTGATTTAATTGTAATTGATAAAATTTTTTTAAAAAGAAAAAAAGAAAGACTGATCTTTATTTATTTATTTATTTATTTTTCTTTGGCGAGCATATCGTTCTTAATCCATCAGATTTTATTACGTGTCGAGACAAATCGAGCAAATCGGTCGAGTTGTTGAGTTCGATTGGAATATTATCGATCAATTGGCGAATACGATTGCAATTTGTAACACGCATTCTCTTCGTGCAAAGCACGAGCGCACAATATATGTGTTCGAAGTGAATATTTTATTGTTTTCGATATTATTCGATCCCCGTATAGGAATTTTATGATTCGTTCAAAGAGGAGAGGAAAATTAAAATCCTTGATGCAGCACAAATATTTTCAAGAAGAAATAAATTTCTCTTTTGAGTATGTATCAACAAAACAAAATTTCAGAATGAATTAAAAGGATTTTAGATCGTCTTCCCGAAAAGGAAAAAAAAAGAAAAGAAAGAAATTGAAGTACAAGAAAAAGATTTCAGAAATCACCCATATTAGGGGCCAAAGTAATCAGAACAGTTTCACTGCGGATGTGTTTTAATTTTTCATATTTTTTAAAAGAATAAAAAATGTTATAATTATAATATTCGAATTTCTCAAATGTTATTATTCAATGAATAAATAAAATATCATTCTGATTAATTAAAATTATTATTGAAAATTATGTTTTTTCAGAAAATTGATTTTTACGCTTTTAAATCCGCAGTGAAAAAAGTTAAATAATTATTTAATCGAACACCGATGCCTTGAATAATTCGCGACTACTTTAAATATTTGAGCTAACGAGATATTCAATCCATAATTAACATAATTCTTAGAAAGTCAAATTTCTTAAATATCCCAATTAAAGAAAGTACCTTTTACTTCGCCTTCGATGAAGAAAGTTTTTTTTTTAAAAAATTAACGATAAGACTTACTTCTAAGAATTTACCTAATTGAAAATTCAATATCAAAAGAAAGAAGCTTCGCATTAAATTTCATAAATTTCATAAATAGTTAAAGAATACACGCGATAAATATTTTCTTGATGTACAAAATAGATCTCATAGAATGGGAAAAAAGAAAAGAGCATTTTCAAATGAAAACGAGACATCAACTCGCGCAACAATACGATAGTATTATTAATCTGTTAATTGTAAAAATAAAAAAAAAAAAAATTCGTGTTTCCCCGTTGATTGAAATAAGGCATTCCCCGTTGATAATTTAAGGCACGATGGAAAAATGCAATGATGATGCTTTCGATGTGTAAGGTAGATTAGAATTTATTCTGTAGAAGTTATTCGTTAGGTTTCCAGTTTTCGAGCGTACACTGAAACCGATTTAACCTCGGTTGATCTCGAGTTTCGACTGTCAACGAACGTACACATTATATTTCACACTTTGATAGTGTTGTAAAGCAAAATATAGAATATAAATAGGGATTAAATAACGATTATTACCATTGTTTTAGTAATATTTCGAACGCTACGATTTTCTATAGGAAAATGAATGGTGTCCTTCATTTCAGATAAATTGAAAATTAATTAGAGACATTTGAATCGTAATATTATGATAAATTTTATATAGAAATTATTCGTGATAAATTTTGCTTTACTCACAATTTACTAATAGCAGTATTATTTGAATGAACGACACCATATTTCCAGCATAAAAATTTCTATTTACGAAACAAATGTAAATATAACGTGTATATTGATCAGGAACAAGTATGATAGCTGTTACGCGAATAAATGTGTCATTTAGCAGTTGTTGCTTCAAGCTATTCATTGTTAATCATGTTATGTAATACAATTTGAAATACCTATTGTAATATGTCAATATTGATTTAAGCGAATTTAGATTATTAAATTTACTTTGATATAAAATTACCGTACTATCGTTAATAATATCAAAATTTTCAAACAAATTTGTTCGAAACACGATCTTCTTCTATCTCGAATCAAAATCTTTATTTGAAGTATTATTTATTTACTTCTTGTGTTTACGAAATATTGTAGATTATAAGCTATGAAAGTTAAATGTAGAAAAAAAAAACAGAATATTATATTCTCAACAAATGTAATATAACAACAAACAATAGAGTGACAAATCTTCAGATTCATAATAAATTTCTATGTGCCTTCTTCCGTTTATGCTAAAATCGATAAACTATAATCACTCGTGTCTTCGAATATAGCGTAACTCTTTCGCTATAAATCACCACGAATCAAAACTATTCTTATGGGGAAAATCTCTGTATAAAAATATCAAATGGGAACAATAAAATAGAAACTCGAATCAACTAAATTTATACAATTGTTATATAAATTAAACTTGGAGAAAAGACAAGTCAAACGAATTTTTAGAATTGAACAGCGAAAGGGTTAAGTGAATTAATCTAAAATAAAATAATAATAAAAGAAAAAATAACAACAATTCGAATAGGTCTGTACTTATACAAATAAATAATATATATATATATATTTATGTTATATCCGTTTATCGTCTGAATATATTTGTAATGGTGTATGAGATAATGACAACTTATATGTGTCGTTTATAATAAAATAATTGTTTACTAAAAATTTCCTTCCTTTTTATTTCATCTTCTATTTCATATTTCTTTTTTTTTTTAATCTCGTTAAAAAAAGAAATTGAATGCATAAAAATACCGCAACACATTCAATAAAGATCGAAGGAAAGAGTGTATTAAAAGGTAAATAGCAGTTTCATTATATTACGCGCGAGAAATGGTTATTAAAGAAATGATTTGTTATGCATTGCATTGAGAGTGCAGCGTGAATATGCACGCGATCGAAAATGCTATTAAAAAATACGATAATTAATTTGCACGTTGATCTAAAAAAATAATTTTATGAAGATGAAATTGAAAAACGATACAGAATTGTGAAAAAGGAATAAGCATGTATATATTGCAAGTTGAATTGCAATTTTATAGACATCTAAAAATAGAAATACAACAATATTGAGATGAAGAATATTTCTTGAATAAATTCGAGTATATAAATAATGAAATCTACGATAAAAATCGTAGCATGCATGGAAATAAATAATATATTTTAATTTGTATATTCATATCGCGTGTATGTTCTCTTATTGTTCGATTCTAGATAAAATTTTTTCTCTCTATTATAAATCGTCTTTTCAACTCGAAAGTATATTCACCCAAATATTCATACAGTTCAAGTATCAGGGATAAGTCGATTTAATAAAATTTTTTAAAAGACTTTCTTCTTTAAAGCAAATACAAGCATTGAATAAAAGAGCAATAACATTGCAAATTTGTTTGCGTGTTTAACTGTAATTCTTGTCGAGGACACGTTTCAAAGAATAAAATGATTATATTTACGCGATATGTAATGATCATTTATATAAATAAATTTCTTTTAATAAATTTTAATAATATTCAAGCAAAAATAAAATTATATCTATGTGTTTATTAATTACGTTGGTAATATAGACGATTGCTCTACTTTTTTTATTTATAAAATTCACTGGGCAAATCTAACGTTAATTACCTATCACCTTAATCAAAAAAGAAACAAAATCAAATCCCAATTGACAATTATCAAGCTTGAAATTAGGTCGAGATCGAGTACGTTCAGATCGTGTCAGATCAACATGTCAATCAATCGAACGATATTTATTCATTTTTCCTATCCTTTTCTATCTTTTTTAATCCTTTAATATAGTAATAATTTGAATCACCTCGAAAGAAAAAGCATTTTTTCACTAGATAAAGTTCAGACCTTAGCGAAAGCACCAGATCGATACACTGATGTAATCAAAGACCTTGACGAAATCTACACACATGTAGATATGTTAGCAAATGCTTAAACAAGAAATTATTTCTTTTCCTATCGATCGAAGAATTTTTAATTTTGTTTACAATTGCAAATTACGTGAATGTTACGTGAAAATTTCAAACGAACAAAATAATTCAAAGAGGATTAAACGTAATGACAATTATTACTTTGTGAAAAATAACAATGAAACGTGAATATGATGAGACAGAATTAATTATATTCGAGATAATTACGAGATGCTTATGTGATAATTAACAATACATTGCAATATTACTACTGCTTAAATGTTTTAAGAATAGTACGTGTTAAAAAAAGTTATTTATTTTGTTAAGATATAAGAAAATTATGTCCCGATTTTTAATATTTTTTGTTATATAGACCCTTTCTTGTAGTTATTCTACTCGTGAATTTGTTAAAGAATTGCTCGTAATAAATGTAATTTAATGAATATAGAATTTTCAGTGTATTCATTAAAAGCTTATTGTTTTAAATATTCAAGTTTGAATTCGAAGCATTACTAACAAGTTGTATTTTATTTTAATATGTAATAAAGAAATATAAAAAATTTATTTTAACAAAATTAGCACGAAAAACATGAAATATCGAATAAGAATAATTTATTAAATGAAAACGAAGTGAATGAAAACGAAATATATAAAGAAATAATTACACTATTGAATATTACGTAATATATTACGTAAAAAATTATTTACAAGCTGAATTAGAATGAATTGAACAAAGTGAAATATATGTCATGATAAAAGAGGGTTACCAAAGACAAATTCTATTATTGATAGGTCATGGTTGAATGTACTTGGAAACATAAATGGAAATCACGCAATTATAGCTATTGATCGATAACAGAAATAGAAGAATCGTTTGACGAGTTCATTCAACTAACACGAATATTCTTTAAACATGGAACTCTTATATTTCTGACGAAACTTTCCTATTTATTGTTATATGTTAAATTCAATGGTATATTGATTTATCTCACGCAATAAAACTCTTACGTTATTCAAATGAAATGTACATAATATAAAATTATAATTCTGTGAATGCAATAAGATAAATTTTGAAAGAATTTTTAAATTATTGATTTTGGAATTAGTTTCACGTGAAATCCAATTAATCGAATGGTTTCTAATAGAATATAATTTACAGTTGTTTAAAAATATAAATAAAAATATTCATGGTATGTTAAAATTATATAGCCTATAAATATATGATATAAAATAAAGACGATTAGATATTTAACAGCGCATATTTTATATTCATTATTTCATGAGGTGTATATGAAATGAATTAACCTACTTTAAAAAGGACATTGATGATCGATAATAAAATACATCTATACACGTAAATCAATAATGATGATATATCATTAAATGAAATATTACTAAATAAAGGCAAAATAAATAAGGGCAATGAATAAAATGTTCATATAAATTATTGAACATTTAATTTTTTTGATAAATTAATGTAATTCATTGTAAGAAATGTATTTGTACTAAAATATATGTTCTATGTAATAATTATTTATAATAAACCATTTGTTATGTGAAATATTGTGTATTCAAATATAAAATAACATATAATAATTATATGATAGAAAAAAATATTTAAAAACTTACCTGCAAAATGAAAAAATATCTCATATTTACCATCAGTAAATATCTTAATTAGCATGCAAAATATAATTATAAAGTAGCTTCCTTCTTTTATGTAAATATTTTAATAATTATTCAATGTGTATTTAGTATGATTACAATATAGAATTAATTTACTAATGATTATTCAATAATTATTATCATCTGCTAATACATTAAAATGATAGATAAAATATAATCAAAAATAAAATTTTATATATACATTGTCTATGATCTATGTTAAGTTCTTTTTTATTTTCATATCTTATTAAAGTTCTTTTATATTATTAAAATTCTATCTATTTTAAAATGTTTATAAATTATCGATTCAAAAAAAATTAAAAGATTATTAAGATTTGAAATTAAAGTTATAGATATAATTATAAAATTATAAACAAGAAATGTAGATTGAAAATTCGAAATTTATCTTTCAATACATGTATACATGTATACATATACAAAGAAGAAAACTACTTTATCAACAAAATGAAAGATTCACTTACCTTAAGCTGTTCTTGACGTCTGTAAGCATGCAGCATTAGTTGTTTTCGTTCTTCTTCTGACATCAATGGTTCACGAGCAGGTTTTCCAGCTCCCCTTTTCTGCAGTTTCACAATGATTTTTGTCTTTTCATTCATCCCCAAATAATCCTTTAATTTCTTTCCTATTATCATTTCTTTTCCTGAGAACCAAAGTTGTGCCAGTTGCACGTCGATGACCTATATAATAATAAATCATCAACTCTGAGTATTAAAATTATAGAAAACAATGATCTCCAAAAATTTTTTTAAAAATTATTAATTTTTAAAAATAATAAAGTTCAAATGTTATAAATATTTTATAATAAAATTTCAACTCAAAAATTATCAGTAATTATTACCTCAAGTGATGCTTGAGTCCCGCTCAAATCTTCCGTATTCTCGAATTCTTGTTGAATAACATCGTGAGGCGGAAGTCCCATCGGATAAACGATCATCACAGCACCTCTGAGAATGTCCAATGCTTCTTGGACTGTTTTCTGCGTCACCAATTTCTCTTGCTGTATCAATTTCTATAAAAAACAAAATGACAAAAAATTTACATTACAGAAACACATTAGTATAATGCATAAAACGAAAATAGGAATAATCTGTTCTCAAATATAAAAACGAGAAACGAGGAACACACACAAAGGAATAGACACAAGATGATTACCTTCGAAACCATAGCTCGTGCCTCCTCGATCGTTTTCTTCAAGACCTCCTGCATTTTCGTGTTAGGTTGTTTGCCATTTCTGCGGCCTGAAACATGGAAATCGCTTGTGGTTACATTCCGTCCGAGACTGGCGAGCAATTAATGCTACCATTACAAGTCCATTCAAGACAACAAAAATTCTGGTTAAGCCAATTTCTCGTCTACATCGCACATAGCATTTCCGATAATCATATATTTGCATGAGCCTTAAGTACAGTTGTTTAGATCAACATAAAATAAACTGCATCGTTAACCCTTTTTACGTACATTGAAAATACATGCTATATATTTCTTATGTATATATATAAGATTAATCCTTTGGTTACTTACTAAAATGATTATTTTTTTATGATTTGAATTATCTACTTAGTAGATATCATAAAAATAAAACATATAGCATAAAAATTTCTTGGTTTACTTCAAATATATAACAATGAACTATTAAGGTTAAGTGTTCGTAAAAATTGTCACACACTTAAGAATATTATTTACAATATCATTCAGTGTATCGTTTCAATCAAGAAAAAACTAGATATATATACATAATTGAAATATATATCATAATATATGACATAATTAGTCTATCAAAACTACATTTTATATGATTAATAGGAAACCATGAGTCAAACATTCAATTAGTTTAGATTAATTATGAGAAATCGAAGTATTAAATATATTTATATGATTTTATACTTACATTTCAAAAATAGATGAACAAAAGATAGATGAATTATATATTATATATCAAAACGAGCACAAATTACAAATTAATCACGTACAAATAATGACAGATCCTTCCTTTTCACTTTTTTTACAATACTGTCTCCCGCGTTTTTGAACCTATAACTTCCGATTTTTGCCGAGCCAAACCGAAGTTAGACGAACTTTTGGCGACGCGCGCAGCCCGATCATACCCGAATCTTGCCGAATTTTTCGCGCTCGTTCCGACATTCCGAATTTTGATCAGTCGTTCGTTCGAGTGCCTTAGACAAGTGATTAGTGATTTGTTTCTACGTACCAATAACATCTTTGTTGAAAGTCCAACCACCCATCGGTATACATTTTTCACCCCATTCATCCTTGAGCTTCAATTCTTCAACCTGCTCATCGGTAAGTCCCATCATATTATGAGGCAGCATGGTGCCATGCTTGATCAATTCCTCGATTTCTATTTTTCGAAAGAATACGTACACGGTTAAACGTAATTCTGCGTAATTACTATCCTGCTGCGACGTGTGACTAATATCACACTGTGGTCAGGATGGATGGATTCATAAACTCGATCTTTTTATTATGCAGCATTATTATTACGAGCCGCAGGTGAGGTTTTCTCCGAGAGATAATTATTAATGGATTTCATGCGTTAGTGTTCGAATCGCATAGGAACCAAGGTCGACTTTAAGAACGCGAGAAATATTTTCAAAATAGAAAAAAAATCTATAAGAATTTGTGCTAATGTACACATGCGACCACATATATATTAATTCATGACGTATATAAGAAACGTTGTACGTAGTTATATGATAAATTTTCGTAAATTTATCATGATCTTTAGTTGAGAATTTAATTAATCGTAAATTTTTTCATTTTCTTTTGAATCTATTCGTGATTTCATGGAAGAACGATCGATTGTTTGATGAAAACTATTATTAAACTATTATTTTTTTTACATCTATTTCTCTTCCTGAAATCAAAACGTATAATAATCACGTTTTAGAAAAATTAAACTATCAGTAATAATTCTTATATTATAATCAAACAACATATATAAAAACAAGTAAATAAAGTAGAAATAACAAACAAAGTAGAAAATGAAGCTATTTTATATTACGCAGCAATTTTCTGTAGTAAACCCTCTTCATATCTTATTCAGTAGAATATTTATAAAATATAATTCTATATAAATAAAATCTCTTTATCAAAATAAGAAACGTTTCCTTCATATCCAATGAAATTCTCCTCAAAGATAGTGAAGGATCAAAGCAGGATCAAGACGTAAACTCTTTCTACTTTAAGGAAAGTGAATAAACGAACGGCTATATACAGGTAGGATTAAAACGCATCATTGGATTAATGGCATAATCGAAGAATAAATGAAGGGATACGTAAACTCGTTATCGTTAATGAAATCATTGGCATTGGATGGGCCCGGGGTAATTCTCGATAAAATTGTTCGTTTCGCGAATGATCCTATTACACAGACGTGAAAATAAAAAACGAAAATAATGCGTAGTACGTTGTTACCTCGAGACAGTTTATACCACTTAACTCACAAGCCCGTGGCCATCTGTGCCTAAATAAAGTGCAACTTTCACGGATAGGCGGACAGGTTTTCTTTTGCCACGTTATTAGATATGTCATCTTTCTCGATCTGATTCATTCCCATGTACGAGATACAAGCGATCATTACCGTAACATATTCTTGAAACCTTCAGCCGGCCATTGTAAATGATGGTAATATCGTATATAATGTCTTCAACCCGAGCCTCCACGTGAGTATCGTACAGAAAATGGCTCTCCTCGCCTTTTTTCACGTGCAATCGAACCATTTTCTCGGAAAGCTTGGAACAAAGTATAGGTTTACAACTGATTGGCTTTAGCTCCCTTTCAACATATATTATTCACCTTATTTCAAAAAAATAAAATTAACTTGTGAGATGAACTTTACTGTGTTCAATGATAGATTCGAATAGTTCGAATTGTCATTACGATTATCAAATTTAGATTTTACTTACGAATAGAATGAATGAAAAGATTCTATTTTAATCATTAACTATTAAGATTGAATTTTTTGAAGACTAAATTAATGATTAATGATAAGTAAATTTGTGATATGATTGCATAAAAAGGTTACCTTTTGATAAGTTTGATAAGTCCAATGATTATTGTTTTACACCAATCAAACGACGATATTTAAAAAAACACCAAAAATTGATTATTCAATTTGCAATTGAAAAGTTTATCTATGTGATATTATAAAAGGCGCGTTGTTGGACAACGGTAGTTTAGCGAAAATAACGGCTTATATCCGGGCGAGGTGATCGAGAAACGGCAGGATCGTGGCACGAATGTGAATAGAAACACTGACGTATTGTTCTTGGTAACACGAAGTATCGATTAAACAGCTCGAAATGCGATAAACCGCTTTTAACTGCATCTGTTGTCCGTTGCACAACTAGAAACTAATAAACTTACGTGTCTGGTCACTTCTTGTTTTCGAAGAATACACTTTACAGGTATAATTAAATGGCACGAGCAGAGGTATACAAAATAAAACGATCTCGTTTAATGAGTATATAATCGTGTTTCATTATTGTATAATATACATATTTACATTCTAGTGAAACACGGATTACAAGAATAAAGACGGTCATATATCGTTACAAATAACGGAGAAACATGCAGACGTGTGTTCTCTCTCTTTATTTTTCTTTTTTCCTCTTTTTCTCTCTCACACACACGCATATACACATATACATACATTTTCATTCATTCGTGCTCCCTACTGGCGTTTTTTGGACACAAAAATATCATCGATATATTTCTTTCTTCTCCATATATAATTACTCTATATCAATAATATAATAATAATAATATTAATAATAATATAATAATAATAATAATAATAATAATAATTAAATATTCTCGACGTAACGTTCGTAGAATAAAAATCTATACACTTATATCCGTATTCGTAACTTCATCTAAATTGTAAGTTGACTAGTATTATGTTAAAATACACTTATAATTCGATGAGGTGTATCTTTTTCTCCAGGTCGTTTCTCTTCTCGATCCTATATATCATATTTCCTTCCTTCTTATTCGTTTTATTCTACGGTGTTCAATGGGGGAGGATGAAGGGGCTGGGGTCCGAACGAAGGTGGTCCCTATATATGCGTTAATCATGGTGCATGCACGAACGTTATTTCGAACAACGACGATTCGTCTTAAATGATCGACTGGCCGAGAAAAACAATTCCCCGAAACCGCCGGCTCGCGATTCACATTTACAATTTCAGAGAGACAATTAACAATAGACTCTGTGACAATTTTTTTTTTTTCAACGCTTCAACATCGATATAAGAGTGTGAGACAATGACGATTGCTTAATTTAACACGTACAATTTAAATTGTACGCCCTTACGCGAAGGGAGAGGGGCGAGAACTTACACGTTTACTCAAAATCCTTTCGCATTGCTCGATTAAATCGGATTAATCGTGAATAATAGGGTACATGTGAGTGGAGGGAGGGACGTAATTTACGACCATCTGATAAAAAAAAACGCAATTTGGAAACATTGGAACGCACAAGCGGAACGCATTGGACGACGTTGTTTCGCGTTTTGTCAATCTTTCTTTTCTTTTTTTTTCTTTTTTTCTTTTTTTTTTCTTTGTTGTATATAAATAGAATACACACGCATACGTTGTATAATGCGTACCCATATATAATAACGTACGAATAATTTACACACGGTTTCTCCTGGTCGTCTAAATCGTCGTGACATTTACAAAAAGAATCGTTTCTAAAAGAACCATGTTCTCGAGATACTCGATACAACAGCGTGATATGATACAATAGAAAAATTGGCATTTGGTCCGAAAGAAACATACAAAATAGGGATTTCTTATACGCTATAACGGTGAAATATAATATTGTGCGCGACTTCTTTCTCCTATCTAATATTCTTATATATCATTTGGTGAGATTAAAACATCGTGCGACGCGGAAAATACACAGACTGCATTTTGTAGCATAACTACGATCGAAAAATATTTTTACGTCCTTTTTTCTTTTTTTTTTCTTTTTTTTCTTTCTTTTTTTTTTTTTTTTACATGCTTCGCGTATATATTTCAATCGATACGATTATTAAAATCATCTAGTTAAACCATCGAGAAGGCATCGGTTTACTCTCGTTAGGGTAGCAGCATTCTTGTTTCTTACTTCGACGAAACATCGACGAATATTCTATTATATTTGTTATCGCCGAGGATAAAAGCTTCGTTCGCGGAACTTCGATTAGCGATATAACATCGGATTATGGATACTTGTAAAAATAATATATTATATCCTACATACACGGGGGAAAACATGTACTAGCCCATTTCAATTCGGTCTCCTGCCATTTTATTTTTTCTTTTTTTTTTTCTTTTTTTTTTTTTTTTTTTTT